CCAACACAGCCAAAAATAAATATAAATAAATAAAAACAAAAAAACCCCACAAACCTGAGGGACATCATAGATTCCTCTTAAAAAAAAAAAAAAAGCCTTAAGTATTTAGGTATCCATGGACATGTTACTCATAACTGCTTCCAAATGTCCCCAATTCAGTTCAAATGCCCAGCAAGGGACTTCCCTGGAGGCTAAGTGGTTAAGAATCCACCTGCCAATGCAGGGGACATAGGTTCAAGTCCTGGTCCGGGAAGATCCCACATGCCGCGGAGCAACTAAGCCCGTGTGCCACAACTACTGAGCCTGCCCTCTAAAGTCCCCGAGCCACAACTACTGAGCCCACGTGCCACAACTACTGAAGCCCACGTGCCTAGAGCCCGTGCTCCACAACAAGAGAAGCCACCGCAATGAGAAGCCTGCGCACCGCAATTAAGAGTAGCCCCCACTCGCCCCAACTAAAGAAAGCCCATCTGCAGCAACGAAGACCCAATGCAGCCAAATTTTAAATAAATAAATAAATAAATAGTAGACCATCACAAACTCTCTTGTCTCCCTCCCTCCCTCCTTTCCTTCTTTTTTTTAAAGTTTTTTTTAAAAAATTAATTAATTAATTTATTTTTGGCTGTGCTGGGTCTTTGTTGCTGCGTGTGGGCTTTCTCTAGTTGCAGTGAGCGGGGGCTACTGTTCGTTGTGGTGAACAGGCTTCTCATTGCGGTGGCTTCTCTTGTTGCAGAGCATGGGCTCTAGGCGCCTGGGCTTCAGGAGTTGTGGCTTGCGGGCTCTACAGAGTGCAGGCTTAGTAGTTGGGGTGCACGGGCTTAGTTGCTCCATGGTATGTGGCATCTTTCTGGACCAGGGCTCGAACCTGTGTCCCCTGCATTGGCAGGCGGATTCTTAACCACTGCGCCACCAGGGAAGCCCTCCTTTCCTTCTTAAAAAAAAAAAAAAAAAAAAAAAAGCACAGCAAAATGAAAACTGTTAAATAAATTGCAGTACATCTGTATGATGGTATATTACGTGGCCATTAAAATGATAAACTGCAAGAATTTGAAATGTTATGGGAAAATGCTGACAATGCAGTGTTGACTGAAGAAAGGTATGAAATTGTTTATTACAGTTCAGGCCATATGTTTTAAAGATATATTTTAACTATATAAGAAGAAAAAAATACATTAAAAAGCAAACTGCAGTTATCTCTCAGTTATAAGGTAATAAGTAATGGTGTTCTTTTCTCCTCTTCTATATGTTACAAGTTTTCTATAATGAATATGTGGTATTTATCAGAAAAGAAATACATGAAAATTACCTGTGAAAATAAACATGCCAAAACCAGCTACAAAAGAAATTCTGTTTCTACTGGTTTAAAATAGTGTTTTGGGCTTCTCTGTTGGCGCAGTGGTTAAGAATCTGCCTGCCAATGCAGGGGACACGGGTTTGGGCCCTGGTCTGGGAAGATCTCACATGCCGCGGAGCAAATAAGCCCGTGAGCCACAACTACTGAGCCCATGTGCCACAACTACTGAAGCCCACGTGCCTAGAGCCCGTGCTCCAGAAGAGAAGCCACCGCAATGAGAAGCCCACACACCGCAACGAAGACCCAACACAATCAAAAATAAATAAATAAATTTATTTAAAAATACTAACAATAAATAAAATAGTGTTTTACAGGGACTTTCCTGGTGGCGCAGTGGTTAAGAATCTGCCTGCCAACGCAGAGGACACGGGTTTGAGCCCTGGTCCGGGAAGATCCCACATGCTGCAGAGCAACTAAGCCTGTACGCCACAACTACTGAGCCCACGTGCCACAACTACTGAAGCCTGAGCGCCTAGAGCCCATGCTCCTCATCAAGAGAAGCCACTGCAATGAGAAGCCCGCGCACCGCGACAAAGAGTAGCCCCCACTCACCACCAACTAGAGAAGGCCTGTGTGCAACAACGAAGACCAACGCAGCCAAAAATAAAATAAATATACAAATAAATAAAAATAAACAAAATAGTTCTTATTTTAAACAAAATAAAAAAACAAATAGATCATGCTGTGTGCAGAGCTGCATTTCCAGGAACAGTTACTGCTATTATTTGGTATTTAAATATGCCTTCATTTGAGAGTTCTTATACATTCTGCACACTTTTTTTTTTTTAACCACATGCCACCTACAGGGGTAAATTATAACAATCTTTCAAAAATGCAAAGATATTAATTTCAAGTGAAGCTAAGTTCTTAATAATTGTTTGAAGTTCCTCTAGCCAAGTCTGCATCAAAGCATCAAGCAGGGCCATGACCGGCTTCCAAACCCACACTTGTGTTAAGAGATGGAACATGCCCAGCTTCAATCACATGTGCAAGTGGAGATTGTTCCTATTCTAAATTTGTTATCACTGCATTATAACTACTGTAATCAGACTAGAGCTGTTAAAAATTAACACCCTTTCCAAGCATATCCTTATGCACAGTCGATGCTGATGCTGAAAGACTGAATTATAAACCAGTGATTCTTAATGTGGGGCAGACATGCGACACAGTTCTTTAAGGATGTAGGAAGAAAACAGAAAATAATTAGAATTTGCATTTCCATTTTAGTTTATCCTTCCTTAAATTCTATCCTGTGCCTGTTTATAATGACCTAAGGTATTACTTCATGTATATAATTGATGTTTACAGCTATTACATACATGTAATATACATGCATTTATATTATGTATACACCATTAGTTCATATATATTATTTATTATATACATCACACAGATGCATGTTCCAAAACATTTTACTCAGAGGGATACGTGACCGAAAAAGTTTGCAGACCAGTGGTCTGGACACACAGTAACAGAAAAGAATAGCCAAAAACAAGAAAAAAAAAATTCCCGTTAGAAATGGAGTCAGAAATGGAGGTGAAGGAACGAGAACAGAGAAGGGAAGTAAGAGGAGTAAAGGTAAAGAGACCAGGAGAACTTGGAGAGGAAGAAGGGGAAGAGGAGTAATATGGGAGAACCCTGGGAGGTAAAGGAGGGGTGGGGGGAGGCCCCAAGTAAGTGAAAATGATGTATTTGTGCATAAAAACTACAATGATATTTACTATTATGACTTGGTGAAAGGAAATGACTCAAGTGTCTAGGGTGGATCCTGTTCCTGCTTGATGGGCAAGCAACTGAAAGACAACGGACCACCAGACATCCTAAAATAGACACTGTGTTAGGTTACAATGGAGCCAACAGAACAAACTTGAAAAACAGGAGCTGTTTACCGGCTATGTAATACAGGCTTAACACTAGTTGGAGCCCAGGTTTCCATATGCTAATTTGGCTTGGGAAGGAAGTGAATGCCAAAACACTGACCTAATGAATAAGAAAGAATTTGGAGTTAGCCTAACCGTTCAATTAATAAGGTACTGCTAACCTTCCGCACTGGCAGGACAGTGCCTGCCTTACCATACAATTAATCGTCTTTCGATCTGACACCCTCTTTTGGCTACAGCCATCTCAAAAAGTGCAGGAATACAGAAATCACAATCTTTGTCTTCTCCCAAGCCCAACAAAGTCAATTTACATTTTAATTTTTTATTTCCCCCACCAGCTGGTGATTATAACCAGGGTAAAAGCACAGCCAGAGGGAAGAGAAACAACTGAAAAAGCCACCTTCAAAAATCTGAGTTGATTTTCCCTCCCTACTTAAACTGCTCTTTTCTAGCTCTCTACCTGAGGGATTCATTGACAGGAGCTGGTTCCTGAGTTTTTGTGGTTTCTTTTTTTTTTTTTTACAGAAGTTCCAAGAATCCCTTTTGCCAGAATGCCTATTTGAGTGACACCTTGTGCCCCCAAATAAATTCTTTCTTGATATTCAGCTTATGCCAAGGTTCTAAAGTTCAAAGTGTAAAGGAATCATACTCACTTCTGAACAAAATATTGACACACTTGTTTACCGTAGCACAGGGCAGAACAAGCTGTAGTGAGGCAATAGTTTTTGGAACTATTTCATAACTGCAGTAGCAAATCAAGATTTACCTTCTGGGGCCTTGGATGACTTCTATAATTTTCTTAATGTTTAGACTATGCCCTCCGAGGCCCACTTATCAAGTCAGGATTTAGATGTTTCAGTGTGAAGGCCACAGAGTTATTGCCACCAAATCTGTCTGGTGGCAGCGTCAGAGCATTTTAAGAATACATTTTAAGAATAAATTAAAATGTAAGAGCAGCTTAATTTCTTTCCAGCAGGGCAAGGGAAATGAAACAACCAAATCACACTGAGGCCATATTTAAGCAAATATCCTCATCTAGCACTGAGCTTTGAACTCACCCAAACTGAACTGTGACCTGAAAGAAAGAGGGATCTTGGCCTACTACCAGGGAAGAAACCACAGAAACAGTTTCGGTTGAACTAATAAATTACTTTAAAAAAATAATAATTTAACCAGAAACGCATGTGGTAGGGAAAAGAGCATTTCCAGAGGCTTCAAAACAAGGTGGTGCAAGTCTCAAACTTTTCCCTTCACTTCGAGCGCAAATCTCTACACTTAAAGGTAAATTACGTTTACTTAGGCAGGAGCCCTCTCCAAAAAAGCAGATGAACATCCATCTACCACAGTGATCCAAACTGGTATTTCTGGTTGGGGAAGCAGAATGCATGAACTCTTGCAAATCTACGGCTTCTTCTTAGGTCTACGCCGACACCCCAAACTCCAGAAATTAGAGAAGGGGTCAAAGAGCCACAAGGTGGGGCGGACCGCCCGACAGTGCACGCGCTCCTCAGGCTGCAGTGGGTGCGTCTGCGGTCAGGTTCTCCGCTCTCTCCCCCAGCACCCCATCCCACGCTTGGGGCGTATGGGGGCAGCCACCGATTCCAGCTCCCTCCCGGATGCGGGGGTGGGCTGGGAACGGCCATCCTGCTTCTCCTCCACCCCCCAATTCCTCACCAGCAGCAAAAGGAGTGCGTGAGGCCCCGAGGCGGGAGGACTAGCTCCGGCGGGAGGCCCCACTCGCCGCTCAGCGTACCTGGCTCTCGGCTGCGGGGATGCCGGACTCGAGCTCACACAGCGCGCGGAAGTTGTGCAGCTCGAAGTCGGCGTCGACCTGGAGGGAAAAGGTCACCTCGGAGAGGTCCCTCCGCACACAGTACACGGTGAGCAGCATGGCCCGGGCCCGACCCAGCTCGGCTCGGCCCGGCCTCGGCGCGGGGCGGCGGCGGCGGCGGGGCCTGGCTGGTGCTGCAGGCGGACGGCGCGGGCTGCTCGCTCGCCCGCCCGTTCGCTCCTTCCCTCACTCACACACGCTCAGTGACTCACTCCCTCCCACCCTCACCAGCAAGTACAGCCGCCACCACCCGCCTGCAACTTCGCCTGCCTGCCTGCCGGCCTGCCTGCCTCCCACCGCTGCCGCCAAGCGCGCCAGCCGCCCGGCGCCCCGCCCCGCCGCAACGCCGATGCCGTAAAGCCCGCCTGACCCGCTCCGCCTTCGCGGCGCAGCGGAGGGGCGGAGCTGGGAAGGGGAGGCGGGAAGTAGGAGAGGATTGCAGGGCTCTGGGGACGGGAGAGGGTGGAAGGGCGAGGAAAGGGGAGCAAACGAAGAGAAAGAAATAAGTATTAATTGCTTGATTTAGTAAGTGACGTCCGTGGAGGACTCCAAAATCTCATTTATTCATCCGACAGGCATTTATTGAGCGCGTGTTGGCAAATAGCCACGTGGGTACAAAAATGCGTAAAAATACAGGTCTTTGCCCTTAACGAACTCTCAAACTGATACAGGAGACTGAGAACCTAGCAGATTGTTCTCAGACATATTTTCCAAAGTAGAAATTGAGGCTCAGACAGCTTACTTTTCTTCTTGTTCTGATGATTTAGGGTTAAAACCAAAATCACGAACCCCTGCTCACTGGCCCCTGCTTTGCTCTTCAGCCCTGCCTCCTGAGCCCTGTCTGCACTCTGCCCTCTCTGCCACATTGTGACTTTCAGTTCCTCCTAAGCTCCGTTTCCCTGCCTCGTAAATAGTTTTCCTTCTACTTGGACTGCTTCTTTCCTAGCCCTGGCAAACCCCAGCACCTATTGCAGTGCTTTTTATTGGGCACAGCTTAGAATCCACTCGATAAAATATGTGTTACTTTAATGGCCTGTTTAAGGCCACATAGCTGATGAGAAATAGAAGCCCAAAACATGAGGATGAGTCAGAAAACCGAAAGGGAAAGAGGAGGATACAATGGATACAAGATTGGCATCTCCCCATTTACTCCCCACTCCCCCATCCACGGAGTAGGGACACCCTCTTCTATTATAACAGGAGGGAAGGAGGGGTCAGGATGGCTATGGATGCAGGTAAGTGTAGGTAGGTTTGGTGGCAAGAAAGTAAGCGAAAGACCAGCAGAAGATGTATCTCTGTAAGGGAAGAGGGAAGGTTTTCTGTGGAGCATAAAGACAGAAGGTGGAGGGAGGGGGCGGGGTGGAGAAGAGTGGTTGTTATCAGGTACAGAAAGCCCACCACCAATGGCTTACGCAAGTGAGGGTTTATTTTTCTTACGGGATAGGAAGCCTGAAGGTAGACAGCAGCATTGGTTCAGTGACTCAGTGATACAAGGGACAGTATTTTGGCAAATCTTTTGGCCTTTCCCTGAAGGTCATGATATAGCTGGTTGTCTCCACCCCATGCATCATTTTCTTGTTCAAGCAGGAGGTTGCCCAGGAGTCCCCCAGGAGGTTTCTGCTTACATCCGGCCAGAACTGTGTCACACAGATGCAAGAAAAGTCCAGGAAGGGGCTTCCCTGGTGGCGCAGTGATTGAGAGTCCGCCTGTCGATGCAGGGGATACGGGTTCGTGCCCCGGTCCGGGAAGATCCCACATGCCGCGGAGCAGCTGGGCCCGTGAGCCATGGCCGCTGAGCCATGGCCGCTGAGCCTGCGCGTCCGGAGCCTGTGCTCCGCAAGGGGAGAGGCCACAGCAGTGAGAGGCCCGCGTACCGCAAAAAAAAAAAAAAAAAAAAAAAGCCAGGAAAAGTGTTTAGGTTTTCTCACCTCATTAAAAGGTATGAATGGGGTGCGCGGTGGCGGGTGGGGCAGGGGAGGGGTTGTAACAGGTTTTAGGTGAGACATACCTAGCGCCTACTACAGCAGAGAAGGTTTGAAATAACCATTGTAAGTTGAAGCAAATTGAGTAGAGAAATGATGTAGAATTGCCAGATGGTATCAAGGGTTCAGCTGAAGTTAGAATCATGAGCTGACAGATTTTTGTGTTACATTTTTTTCTGTTGGTGCCCAGATGTGAATGATTTTGTTTTCCAAAGATGGCCACGGCAATATCTTCCATCTTATATGTTCATGCTATAATGTAATCATGACATTCCTCCCATTAAGACATGGGGTATATGTCCCTCCATTTGAATTATGGCAGATGGACTTTGGCATAAGTGTCACTGTGTGACTTCTGAGGCTAGTTCATAAAAGGCAATATAGCTTCTGCCTGATTCTCTTGGAACACTTGCTCTTGGAACCCAGCAGCCATGCTGTGAAGAAGCCCAAACTACCCCAGGCAGTGAGACTACATGGAGATAACATGTATAGATGGTTCAGGCAACAACCTAGCTGAGATCAAAGCCAATTACCAGGAAAACCCTCCTAGAACATGAATGAAGACACTTCCAGTTGATTTCAACCCTAGCTGTTGAATCATCTCCAGCCTTTGAGTCTTCCCAGCTGAGGCCCCAGACATCATGGAGCTGCCTCCACTGTATTCTTTCTGAATTCCTGACCCACAGAATCTGTGAGCATAATGAAATGGTTATTTTACATGACTAACTTTGGGGTGGTTTGTTACAAAGAACAATAATTGGTACACTGAATATAGGCACAGCCGATAAACTAAAAAAAAAGAGAGAACTTTTTATTGCAGCATAATACACAAAAAATGCATGCATTTTAAGTGTATACGGTGAGTTTTCACAAACTGAACACCCCTGTTCAGAACATTATCAGTACCTCAAAAGCCCCCCTTGGGCTTCCCTGGTGGCACAGTGGTTGAGAGTCTGCCTGCTGATGCAGGGGACATGGGTTCGTGCCCCGGTCCGGGAAGATCCCACATGCCGCGGAGTGGCTGGGCCCGTGAGCCATGGCCGCTGAGCCTGCGTGTCTGGAGCCTGTGCTCTGCAACGGGAGAGGCCACAACAGTGAGAGGCCCGCGTACCGCAAAAAAAAAAAAAAAGTCCCCCTTATCCTTCTTTCTATAATTAATAGTAATCTTTTAAAATATATATTTATTTGACCGTGCTGGGTCTTATTTGCGGCACGTGGGATCTTCGATGCCGTGTGTGAGATCTTTAGTTGCGGCATGCGGGATCTTTTAGTTGCAGCATGCGAGATCTAGTTCCATGACCAGGGATCGAACCCGGGCCCCCTGCATTGGGAGCGCAAAGTCTTAACCACTGGACCACGAGGGATGTCCCATAGCCTTCCTTCTAATCACTAACTCTCCCTCCCCAAACCCCTCCAAGTGTAACCAGTATCCTGACATTTAATAGCATAGATACATTTTGTTTTTCTACCGCATGTAAGTGGACTCACACAGCATGTAGTCTTGTGTCTGCCTTCTTTCACTCGACATTAAGTGGGTTTTGTCCATATCGATGTATGTAATTATAACTTGTACATTCTCGTTGTATTTTGTTTGGGAAATACACCATAATTCAACCATTCTGTGGCTGATGGGCATTTGAGTGGATACATTTTTCCTTGAACCATTTTGACTTATGGTTTTCAAAATTTGCAACCAAAAGAATCCTAACTAATATAAGCCCGCAGCTTTTTACCAATCAGACCCTTTCCTCTTGGGCCTCACGCCTTTTGGACTCTGATCAGTTGCCTCCTGTGATCTGGCTCACAGTAGCTCCTCCCACTTCTCTCTCACCACTCTATGAGATGGACTTTGCATCTCTATTACTTGTGACCACAAATAGCTTCAGACATCTCTGGTCCTTAATTCGAAGTCAGGATGGGGTGGGTTGGACAAGGCCTGGACAAGCAGGGCTACCAAGAAGTTCCATGATCATTGCTGTTTGTCAAGAACCTTGCAAATGATTGCTAACTTTGCAATGCTCACTTCTTGCCAGGCACTCCTCCATGAATGTCATGCGTGTTGAGTCATTTAATCCTCACAACAATCCTGTGAGGCATTATCTCCATTTTACCGATGAAGAAACTGAAGCATAGAGAGGGGTCAGTCACTTGCCCAAGGACACACAAATGGAAGCTCGAATTCCAGTCAGGCAATCTGACTTGAGTCTAGGGATTTCCCTGGCAGTCCAGTGGTTAGGACTCCATGTTTCTACTGCTGGGGTGTGTGTGGGGGGTGGGGGGACAGGGGGGCGGGGGGGGGGCGGGTTCGACCCCTGGTCGGGGAACTAAGATCTCGCAAGTGGCAGGCCATGGCCAATAAATAAATAAATAAAACTCAAGTCCACAGTCTTAACCATTATTTTACACTGCTGAATGTGAGACCTCATTTTATCCTTCTAAAAGCCCTCAGAGATAGGAACGATTAGTATTCATTCCCATTTCATGGATAAGGAAACAGGTGTGGGGATTTTAATTAACTTACCCAAGTTCGCTCAGCTAGTGAGTGGCAGATTCTCCAAACTGGAAGAAACTCGAAGAGTGAAAACATCAATTTGACTAGAACACAAATGCTCTGCCTGCACTTTAAATGTGGGGAAATCTTGCTGTGCTCCAAAACCCTGACTTTCCTCACCATTTGGTCACCACCAGCAAAGTTGCTGTCTACTTTGAGATTCTTGCCTAATTCTTCTGTATTAAAAAGAGCAGGGCTTCCCTGGTGGCACAGTGGTTGAGAGCCCGCCTGCTGATGTAGGGGACACGGGTTCGTGCCCCGGTCCGGGAAGATCCCACATGCCGCGGAGCGGCTGGGCCCGTGAGCCATGGCCGCTGAGCCTGCGCGTCTGGAGCCTGCGCATCCGGAGCGTGTGCTCCACAACGGGAGAGGCCACAACAGTGAGAGGCCCACATACCACACACACAAAAAAAGATCAAATCAGTAAAGATATCTACCCTAGTTGATTTAAAAAATTCCACACAATAGGAATTAAATCTCCCAAATACTGTAAGTATTTGTTTGATATTTGTGCCTGCTTTTTTTTTGCGGGGGGTGGGGTCAGCGCTTAACAGTAAACCATTTAATTCTCATAGCTCTGAAGGTTGGGAAGTCCAAGATCAAGGTGCTGACAAATTTGGTGTCTGGTGAGGTTGCCTTTCTTTTTTTTTTAAAGCAGGTATTGATATATATTGCTCTTTAAAAACTTTACTTCCTCATCAGCTCCTGGTTGCTCAAAGAGGCCTATCTCTCCTCATTTTTCCTGGCATGTCAACTGATAGCAGATGATGCTCCATTTTTCTCATTTTACCTTAACACAAAAACTCTTTGGGTTTCCTATTTCTTAGGCTGGGATCATGTGCATATGTATAATGCAATGCCTCCTTCCTTTCCTGCTTATCTTTCCTAAAATCTGATAGCGTTTCAGTCCCACTAAATTCTAGGTCAACTCTTCCTCATTTCAGATGCACCTTGTACTCATTGGGCTATCAAAACATTTCAGGTAAATATGGCTGTAATTTCAGGCGCCATAATCGCCTACTCAGAAGTTTGGAGCTAGAGATCAATATATACTTTGATTATTAGAGTCAGCCCTGGGCAAAACTACAAAATAAGCCAAAGTTTGTCCTTGGCAA